GCCCCAACAAAACTAAACAAAACAAAAATGGGGCAGTTCAGTGGTAAAGCCCTTGTGTAGCATGCGCGAAGTCCTGGGGTCAGTCCCCAGCACTGTGAAAACTGAGTAAACAACTTTATATCAAAATAGACAACTAGAATACTCCTGGGAGGGACTTGGTAGGCTTTTGCCCATGTGGCATCTGTAGCTCTTGCTGCTTCCCGTTGGCCTTGCGACTTCTCTAAGAGCAAAGCCCACTCACAGCAGTGAGTTGTATGATAGCAGCAGCGTCTCCCAGCTCTTCCTTTAGCTGTTCGTATGACTTCCCTGCCTGCGAAGAGAGAGAAAGCACAGGACGATAAGCAAGGGCCGTCTTAAGCCTGGTCTGTATCTTCAAGAAAAGCAAAAAAGCCAGAGAACCAGAAGACATGTTGAAGTAAAAAAGTGAAAATCCCTCCCTCCGGGTCCATGTAGTGTAGAGAGGCTCTTAAACTTGGTCTACATTTTTTGATGATACTACTTGAATCCTCCCTGTAAGACCTAAGAAAGAGCAGCTGAGTGGGAGTCAGAAAAGCTGGCTTCTGGCTAGTTTTGCACACTTCCGCAAGGGATAAATGGAGGCTTGGGATTATCAGCATCACCCTTTTGAGATTTCCCAGTAATTTTTTTTTTTTTTGTACCAGGAATTGAACTCTCAACCTTGTGCTTGCCAGGCAGGCGCTTATGCCACTAAGCTATATCCCCAGCCCCCTTTTTTGGTCTTGAGACAGGGTCTCGCTATGCATTCCAGGCTGGCCTTGAGCTCACTTTGTAGCCCAAGCTGGCCTCGAACTCACAATGATCTTCCTGCCTCAGCCTCCCAAGTGCTGGGATTACAGGTGTGCGCCACCACACTCAGTTTCCCAGTAACTCTTTAGGGATGGGCCATCCTCTTCCCCCAAGACTAAAACTAAGACCACTAAGACTAACAGTCCAAGGCAAGACCCTTCTTAGCATAAGATCACCTTTGCTCTCTTGAGTCATCTCTGGTCATCCTTGGCCCTTTGAGTCGTCAACCTGTGAGTCCTCCACTAATCCCTCCTGTCACTGTATACACCCAATAAATAGTGGCTGCCTTGGAGTGTCCTGGTCTCTACCCATCCTAGGCACTGATCTCCTGGACCCCCATCTTGCATTAAAAAAAAAAAGAAAGAAAGAAAACCTGGCTTCTTTCTACTGGATTACTGTGACTTTGGACAAACAACTTGTCCTCCTACCTTCCCGGTCCCCTCATCTATAATATGGGGAGCAAATCACCTGCATCAGCTATCGGGGTACTTATAAAAATCAGAAAGCTGGTGATGTGCATGGGTACATGTTATAAACCAGTGATGGTGCCGGGCGTGGTGGCGCACGCCTGTAATCCCGGCACTCGGGAGGCTGAGGCAGGAGGATCGTAGCAAGTTCGAGACCAGCCTGGGCTACAAAGTGAGCTCAAGGCCAGCCTGAACTGCAGAGCGAGACCTTGTCTCAAAAAGACAAAAATAAATAAATAAATAAAACCAGTCATGGTGAACCTACTGGAGGCCAAGTGCCCAAATTACAACCCAAAATTCACTTACTTATTTCAAAATGCCAATGCTACAAATTAAACCTGAATACTGAGGTTTTAGTTTAGGGGGAGAAAAAAACCCTCATACATTAACATCTTTGGTCTTAAAAACAACACACAGTGCCATAGGTTCCCCACCACCGCTGTCAGCTGCATTATTCCATGCTGCTCACTGCTCAGACAACTGTGAATGATCTCACCGGACTTACTGCGATGGGGGGAAGAGAGGAGAAGTCCAAAGCAGGAAGCGGAGTGGGAGCGGGAAAGAGGAGGTGTTGCTGGGCCCTTGCATCATTACCCCGCCTGCCCCAAACCTCTCAGTTCCGCCTCCCTGGCAGAAGCCTCTCGCCCGCCTGTCTGTTCTTACACTCCAGACGTGAGGGTCCCAGGCCAGGAACCAGCCGGTGAAGGTGGGAGGCTCGAAGCCCTGTTTGATGATCAGAATGGGCGTGTCGGGGTCTCGGCCGCCGGGGTGAGTCTGCAGGTACTCCTGGGCAGTCGCCAGGGCCCGCTCCTTCTCTGTGGCATTGGCCTCAGCTCCGATCCACAGGAACACCTGGGGTGCAGATGTGATATTTGTTACCGCGCTTGTACCGAAGGCCACACGCTACATCCACAACACTGCTCGGCTTTCCCCCGTGGCAATTCACAGCCTCGGAAAACACCCTCAACCTCATTTGTTCACCGGAAGAAAGATTTTCCCAGAACCTGCTTGATATTTGTCATTTTATTATATATTTTTTTTAAATTTTTATTGTCTCTTTGAGACCAGGTCTCAGTATGCAGTTCAGGCTGGCCTTGAGCTCACTTTGTAGCCCAGGCTGGTTTCGAACTCACAATGATCCTCCTGCCTCAGCCTCCTGAGTGCTGTTGTTACAGGCATGCGCCACCACGCCCGGCCAAGATGCTGAGTTTTAAACATCATTTTTTTCGCTGACCCTGGGAAAAGCAAGCTCTTCCTTTGGTCTCCACTGACAAGTGTTTTACTTGGGGACTGTTCGGGACCTCTCTGGGCTTATTTCAGGGGAAGATACTATACAAAGCAGCCTAAGCTATGGGGGTCTTTGCCGTTTGTTCTGAGTTCTGTTACTGGGTCTTACCTGGTCCCAGGTATCCAGGAGCATCACATCACTTGGGTTCAGGTCATCCTGGGTGAAGTCTGTGATCTCCGTGACAATGAACCGGCCCGTCTTGTTGGAGCATTCAAAGAGACGCGACTGGACATCCAGGATTTCCTGCTGTAGTCTGCAAGACAGTTCATTTAGAGGCACGGTGACAGACACTGTGTGTTTAAAACTGAAAAGAGCCAGGCGGGTGGTATAATCCCAGCACCCAGGAGGCTGAGGCAGGAAGATCGCTGTGAGTTTGAGGCCAGCCTGGGCTACAAAGTGAGC